ACCACTGTCTTGCTAAAGAAGCTGAGGGTAAAGGTGATGGATTGGCCAAGCATGTCTCCAGACCTAAACCCTATTGAGCATCTCAAGGTCTCTAACATCCACCAGCTCTGTGATGTCATCATGGAGGAGTGGAAGAGGACTCCAGTGGCAACCTGTGAAGCTCTGGTGAACTCCATGCCCAAGAGGGTTAAGGCAGTGCCGGAAAATAATGGTGGGCGCACAAAATATTGACACTTTGGGCGCAATTTGGACATTTTCACTTAGGGGTGTACTCACTTTTGTGGCCAGCGGTTTAGACATTAATGGCTGTGTGTTGAGTTAGTTTGAGGGGACAGCAAATTTACACTGTTATACAAGCTGTACACTCACTACTTTACATTGTAGCAAAGTGTCATTTCTTCAGTGTTGTCACATGAAAAGATATAATAAAATATTTACAAAAATATGAGGGGTGTACTCACTTCTGTGAGATACTGTATATATGGCATTGATAATATTTTTAAAAAGATATATCTATTTTAAAACCTGCAATAAAAGCAATGATATTTCAAAATATTACTACAACTTAAAATAACTGTATTCTATTTTAATATATTTTAATTAAATATAAGTGTGGAAAACAGTTATGCTGGAAACCGTGATACATTTTTTTCAGGATCCTTTGATGAATATAAAGCATTTATTTGAAATAGAAACCTTTTGTAAAATTATAAATGTCTTTACTGTCATTTTTGATCAATTTAATGCATCCTTCCTGAATGAAAGCATTAATTAACTGTGAATAAAGTATTAAATTATACTTTAATTATACTAAAAAGAAATAAAATATTATTATTTTGTGTAAGACTAATTCATCTGTTGTGTGCCTGTATTACAAGTACTTATATTATGAAATGTATTTTGAATTGCAATACGGTAAATTCCTCTTCTTGTCATTTCAGCTCCAATGAATATAAAAAGGAGGCAAGTGTTTTGCACAACCCAGCTCCAAAGAGGGGACTTCTGAATGAAGATGATTTTAGTCCTCTGAAGGAAATAATTCTACAGCTACTTCTTGAACGTACAGCACACTAAACAACATTGTATCACACTGACCGTAGAAGAGTCTGAGGGTTTCCAGGCCCAAGAAGAGGAGCAGCAGGACAACATCCAATATCAGATTGGCTTGTGGGTAAGGGAGGATCACCCCTACAAACGACAGAGCAAGCACTGATTACTACACATATAAAATCTCAACCTCTAGATCAGGGGTGTCAAACTTACAACATGCTTACGAACATGCAGCTTTTGTCTTCACAGGATGTGAATTGCTTGATAATTAATTTGATTAATCGAATGGAGTTGTGTGGATGAGTCCTTCTTGTGGATGGTCTGAAAAGCGAGGTGTGCTCTGATTGGCCAGCTATCCAGTGCATTGTGATTGGCCGAATACCTCAAGCGTGTAAAGGAAATTTTACGCCCCTTACCATGTTGTGATGCCTTGTCCCGGAGTGACGAGACAAAAACATTAAAACCCATTATAAACAAG